AATCAAAGATTTCGTCCACGGATAAAAAACTTTTGTTTTCTTACTTAATATCACCTTTCGAACGTTATGTTTTAAAAATCGTTTAATATATCATTGTAAGAAATAGAACATTGTCTGTATTTATATGAAATGTATAATTTGAGATAATCAGTGCATTTGTTGTTGTTAGCGTAAAGTTCATTCTAAGTTCATATGGTTTAGTTTCAAATTAAGACCATTTTATCGAATAATTGATATTTAATGAAATAAGTATAAGTTCAATTGGTAATTCCAGTGGGGGAAATGAATCAACGGCGTTTATGATATATTTCATTGATAACTGATAACTAACTCTCTGAGGCGCTAGGTCTACTTATTCTATTTAAATTTGCGTCTCATTGAAAATAACTTCTCGTTACAATCGTATACCTGTGGTTAATATACGAATAGGAAACATGAATGGATTAGTACTAGTTGTTCTGCTTTTATGGAAGTCGTCAATTATGTGCATTGACGCATCTTTTCTAAATTTAGGTAAATATTACCTTTAAAGTCGTTAAATAAGAAAAAACATACATAGCGGATACTACAATAATTCAATGTTTCAAGGCTCAGTTACTTTATATTTATTTTAATATCTAGCGAGCGTATTTATTGAAATTGATTGAACATTATGAGAATAAACTGCGAATTTAGAATGTCATTTCCGTCTGTGATGGAATTATTATAAAACGGAAAAAGTCAAGCGCCGATGCTTTAAGAGCAAATGAGATACATTTATGGAATATTACAGCATGATAAATGGTCACAGTAAATTATTAAAACTTTATAATGAGATTTTAATTATTTTTTAACCCAAATAAGTGTTTGCTATAACTATTTTATAGATAAAACTTTTTTTCATTTAATTTATAAAAGTTAAATCAAAATACATATATAAAAGGGCATTGCTATATCTATTGTACAGGAATATGAAAATTTCTTTGATAAAATGATTTACAAACTTTGTTGTAGTGGTGTCATTATTATATGATATATTTTACTCTTTCGAAAATGTTTGAAAGGTAGTAATACAATTAAATTCACTTCGTCTAAGGACAACAGAGATTCACAGACGCAGTTGTCGGGGGTAATTTGTTTCATAGTGATAAACGCGGGAGGTGAACATACATTTTAAATCGTATTGCTATATTATATATTTTGACAGGCATTGTTGAAGAAGGCACGACTGGGTTTTACAGGAGCACAGAAATGTTTTATTCGTATAATCTCACATTTAACAGATACGTTGTTGATATAAACGAACACTATCAAACGTTCAAGGCAGGTTTGTTCATCTTTAATAACTTGTTTCAAAAGTTTGCAATAGTAACTGTTCTATATGAAGAGTACGACCTTAACAAAACACTCGGAAGGCAATAAGTGTTAAATTACCTTCAGTTTTTGAGAGAGCTGTTTTTAAAACAGGTTTCTTTCTTCTATGTTTATCGCTAGATCTTACTTTCAGTATTGGTTTTGTAATTAATGCATTTTTTATTGATACAGTTCTTTTTTCACCTCAGTTATAACCTTCGCGTGTTTAAGTGTAATTTGTTATTGAAGCTTCACTTGAAATAAAAAAAAAACATGCGACTTCAGTATGGACCAGTTCTTGATACATCTCTGCGAGATAGGACGTTACTGATCATTTATTTATATCATTGCGACAGAACATGGTCCTTGAAAAAAGACGTTTTGTCGTTAACAATGTCTGGAATATTACTGTTTAAATTTTGTTCGAGTAAATGGGTAGAACAATAAAGTTATTCAAATAAACAAACCATAAATATTATCAATTAAATCTTTAGAACATCAAATTTGACATTTGTTTTGTATATAATTACAGAGGTTGTTTATATTGGCAATATTTTACAGAAACCTGCCAATTAAAACTTGCAAGATTCAAACATAACTTCAATAACAGTTATAACTAAGCCAGCAATAATTCTACTCAATTACTCGAGCAGCAACAGCTCATGATAGATTTTGTTTCGTTAATGTTGAACCACGAACTCGTACCGGCTATATTATAACAAAAAGACATTAAAAGTTGTATACATTCGCCTACAACCTATTTTATGATTTAACGGACTACAACAGAACCAGTTTCATTTAAGGTTGAGTATTAAGTTATATTTCATTTTTTACCTGAATATGTTTAGCTAATTTATCTGAAATATTCTCTTTTAAAATCCATAGATTAATTTCATTATATACTAAGTCTTATGTTCTTCTGAAATTAACAAACAGACATATGTTCTTATAATATTAACAAACTGATTATGCAATAAAAAATAGCTCAATATTTGGCAATCATAACGTTGAGTCGACACTTCAATAATCTTTATGTTATTATTTACAAGTACAATAGCTATATAGGTATGACGCAAATGAAGCTTTGACCAAAATAAAAAAAAATTTTTTTTTGAAGATTTCTGCAAAATTTTCAAAAAAATCAAATTTCGCTTGGTGAATGTGAGATGGGGTTTCAAATATATGAATTAGGGCAAGAAGCACGGGGTTATGTGGGTAATAGTAAATTGGGAGAAGGAAAAGTTTGAAACCTTTTCCCGGTTTTAGGCCCCTTTTGCACCACTGTACATTGGGGGCGTACACCAAAAATATATAAATAAGGTAAAGGGTTTTAAGTACCTGAAAAAGTTTTTTGGGTTTAAAAATACTGGTAGGGCCCGGGAAAGAGCAAAAAAAATTAATAGTTTTACATTTCTTTGAAAAAAAGTAAAATCCTTTTAAAGGGTTTGTTATGGAAAAATGTACTTCTTTTCGATTGTTAAAAAAAAATTTAAAATTTTTGCCTTTTAAATTTTATCTAGAAAGGACAGTTTGGTGCCCCAAAAGTAAAATAGGGACCTTTTCTGTTTTTTTATTGATATTTTTAAAACCCAAGATTTGTTTATTTTTCTAAACGAGAAATTTTTTAAAACAAAGTCGTTAGCTTAAAAAAATTTTTATTTGTTTGTCTCCAATAACATATTGATAAGTTGACTCGCCACAGGGCACTATTGATCATGCACTGTGTCAATTTGCTAATGAGATAAAAATCAGTAACTATATAGATACAATCGCGTTAAACATTTAACGCAACATTATATTCATTTGATTTGTAAACAATACATCATTTTAATGTAATGCAATTAATCATAATTATTGATAACGAGTGCGTGTATATTGTCATAACCTATGAAAATAATGAATTGTCTGCAATTAATCAGATATATTTGATCAAAGTGAATTATTATCAGATTTCTTGACGATAAAAAAGTTCGCAAATATTTATTGTCATAATTTATTAGTCGTAGAAAGATCACTTCCTCTCATTAAAATGCTATGTTGAAAAAAGAAACGAGAGTCCTTAAAGAAAGCGTAGTCTACAAAACTGAAAATTTTAAAGGTTTGGTTTGTCCGAGCAAATGCAATTACGGTAGTAGTACGGACACTATTTTGTCTACTCTAAAGCCGAACATAATTGTGCTTGAACACCGTGAAATAAGGATTTAAGAAACATTCCGATACAAAATCTTATTACGCATTGTTCCAAAGTTATAAAAATAACATTTTCTAATACAAAAAATAAAGACATGTTCTATCTATCAAGTGTTTTTAATGAAAAAATGCAAAAATTGCTTCTTTGTTTTGGGTTGATAATCATGTATCGTTTATGAACCTTCCGGGAATTTAGAGACTTGAATCAAATTGTCTAAAGAAACATTTCATTGTCAAACCTTGAAATTTATTATCGTCGGACTAATTATGTACACGCAACACTAGTTGTAAGTAAAGATTATAAGAACAAACAAAATTGTGGATTTAGTATCTTTTCTTTTTCATTTTATTTGTAAGGGATCTCTAGGATACAAACATACCACCAATTCAGATTTCACCAGTAAGGAATTTTGTGGTGTAGTCAAGTCTACATATATAAAAGAGCCATATTGTCTGAACAACACGGAAGTATTTGAAATCCATACGTCTATGAATGCAGTAACCCGATTCCGAAAGCAGGTAAATGATCTTAAAAAATGACAGGCATCTAGAGTTATAAGTTGAATTAACCTGAAAAGAAAAAAATTCATGCCTCAGACTTAGCTTAGTCACCGATACGTCTGATACTAAAGTACCTTGTTAATATCAAAACTCAATATAAACCGTGTTAACAGACAAACAGGTTTTGTTTATTCATGTAAATCATCCGCAAACATTTATGTACATCAAAGTTGACAACCTTTTAGCACATTAAATATAATACAATCTAAAATAAATACTCAGATACTTAGACACATTTGATATTGATTAGGTACTACAGTGAATGAAATCAAATTAGTAATGTACCACATTTAGTTAATTAGTCGAATTGGGGAAATTATAACTTGTGTCATCATTTCGTTTTATCTTTTTATTGTATTTTCCGTTAAAGATATATTATGCTGAAATTTGATATTAGAAAATATTGATAAATGTTACACAGTCTCTTTTTATATAAAACAATCATGTTTTGACTTCACACAAAGAATATGTGTTACATTTAAGATTCTACAAACTATAGGCGGTCACAATATGAATATATTGTGTCATTAAAAAGTTGGCAGCTTTGTTTTAAAGTAAGGCCAACTTGCCTTGACATGTTATATGCAATGCATATGTCAATCAATATTTTATTCAAATTAGACATATCCAACAAGAATTTTATATACTTCAATAATGTTTAAGTGATATATATATTGTACTCGGGGATTAGCATAGTATAGTCACCTCACACATGTTCATTACAAAATATGACCTGTTAAAAAAACGCGATCAGTAAAACGGCATTTTTGCCGCTTTTCGATGTTCCAGTTTTAAATGCTACATTAAAAAATCGTCCATATGGTGTCATTGAATGTGGATTTCCTTAAATTTTTTCCAAAAAACTCAAAGCTTGCCAAACGTTCTCTTAAATAATATAACACGACATAAAAGGAAATATTTATGTGTTATACACGATTAAAATTAACCTGAAATTTGTTGATATTACAGGTAGAGTTACACGTATCAAATATTTTATCTACAATCATTGCCGGGTTGTTGAAGTGGACAGAAGTGTTTATATTTTATGAAAACGACACTGGTACTACTTACTATCATATCAATTTGCGTCTTTAATTGGTTGTATTAAACCTAATGATTTTCTCGAAAGAGGAATTAATAGCAAATTATCAATTTCTATTGAGCAAGCATTTCCCATTAGAATGTAAAAATATTGATTTAACTGTACACTATCATTTAATTGCGTTATAGTAGTTTGATATCATAAAAGATTCAAATGAATGAAAATGCTATATAATTGTACATAAAGTCTATCTCCCGGCGAGGGGTTTGACATTCATTGAATATAGATAGATAATTGTGCAGCCCAAATACATGAAAAAGTGTTTAACATTGTATCGTCAAGTACAGAATTAAAATTTGCCATAACGAGTTAGAGAAAAAATGATATTGAAATTAGTCCAACGCGTTAATATTTAGATATTGCAGGTTCGGCTTGATTGTATCTGATCATTGACCGCAGTGTTTAGTGCACGCTCCCTACCACCTGCTAGTCATGTTTAATTAATGTTCTCTTCTCATCTACAGAACACGAAAGCTCTCGGCTAATTTACAGTGTTTCAAAAGAAAATGTCAAGGCAATTTTATACAATATTGACAAAGTGATAGATCTTCATAAACTTTTATTAGATGCATATCTTCGCATTGTACCGACTACAGGTAATATCAACTTCGTGGTTCTTTGTAAATTCGACTGTCTGCGGCGACTTTTACATACGGTAAGTAAACAGAGTAAACTTGAATGATTAAATAAAACACAAAGATTGTAGTTACATATATATAGACTAATATAAGTTATTTACTGCGAATATAGACACCGAATCACAGACACTTGGGGTGTGGAGCTTAAAACGCCTTTAAAATCCAAATAAAATGTATATTTGTCAATCCCAGTATGGGAACCAACAAGTTACGTCATTGCCGACTGGTTTTCACCTTCAAAGCGCAGCGCATTTTGCACACGGCAAAGCTGGGGCCACGTTTGAATTTATCGAAATATTTTGTAAATGGAGTAAAACGGCGATAATTTTGATGTTTATTTCGGCTGTTGCGTTGTTTATATTACCGTTGAAGTTTAAAATTGACCATCATTGTGAAGAATTATATCTTCTGTGTCGATGGACCAAACGATTATGTGAAAATATTGGAAATGGAATAAAATACATGGTGATGTTGACGGTAGGTGTGCGGATTTTTTCCGGCGAACAATTTTTATCTTGTGTATTATTATAGACGTTGAAATATGAATTTTTTTCAAAACGGCTTATATTAAGTTTTTTTGATATATATGATCAGTACATGTGCAGGGATTGACAAATATACATTTATTTGGATTTTAAAGGCGTTTTAAGCTCCACACCCCAAGTGTCTGTGCACCGAATTAGCGATTCTGAATCCTGGATGACGTTAATGGTTGTTTTTTTTATTTAAATGATAATTTAGTTTCTAGCCTGTTTCTTTTCATATGCTTGTAGTATATGGTTTTACTTCTTGTTTGATTAGTTTGCTTATATGACGGTAGCATGTATCGCGATTACATCTAACAAAAACATAATTGTCAGTGGTAAATATTAAATAATAATTATTGTTGTGATGTTGTACAGGCGAATACATTTGACAGTAAAAACAAGCTGCCGAAAACGCTGATAAAACAGTTCTCAAGATGGCTTATTGCAAGTCTCGACAACGACAGAAATGTTGGCACAACCGTCACGGAATGTGCAAATGATCTTGATAATGTAGCAGTTATATCCTTTCCAAGACTTCAAGATGAAGATTCTGCTGCGGTAGGGACATTTTTTTGCAGCCTATTTACATACAATACCTGTCATGTTACTATTATTCATGTAACTGACTGAAGAACAGGTGAAAAAAGACTAAAATATCAACGGTGATACATTTTCAAGTTTGCAAACATTTCCCTCGCCGAAACCGAAAACAAAAGTTTTGACTTATTACATAAAGCTATTAAGCGTCTCGCTTCGATTCTATCAACGTTCCCAATATTCGTACTGAAAAAATTGAGAAATTAGATACAAAGTTACTCAACTTGCCGATCTTTTTATAAGAACAGTTCATTAACCCTTTGCTAAGAACAACATCAATCACGATGAGAAACATAAACATTGTTACGAAAATAAAATGAATATGAAACTCAAATTTCAGTTTATACTTTTAAAAGTCTTGTGTGTAAGAAGCTGTAAGCTTTTATACGTATACGTATACATATACGTATAATCAGTTCCTGGAACAAGCCAGTATTGAGCAACCAGTGTATTTTAGCTCAAGGAAACAACGGCCTACCTCTGAAGGGGTTAACATCCACGCGACTTACACTCCTTAGTTTGCTTGTCCGATGCCTGAACGAATCAGCAAAATTGAATTAGTAAACTACACGGTTATTTTGATATCGACAGTAAATAAAATTTCAAATTACATATAGATCAAACTTTTTCTTTTTTTCATTAAGTTTACGGTCACTTAATTTAATAAATTAGGCCTGGAACAATTTCTTCTATTGATAACATCATACCATCTAGACTTGTTGCTTTATCATTTATACATGTTGCTTTATCATTATAGCAAATGAAAGTTGCATACTTATGTAATAATCAACGATAACTACTACTTTTATCTACAGGAATTTCAAAAGGCTCTTCGTAAAACGTTTTTCAATGAGGTAATTGCAGAAGATGCTGGGAGCTTCAACAACAGTTTTGTAAACGTGTCAGAAGCAAAACGAGCAATAATTAACGATTTGACTCAGGTAATCTAACTTGTACTAGTGTCGTTTTTAAGAACATTGTAAAAGAGATAAATTATAATATCTATTAAGATTCACATAATACATGTATTAATAGCCTAAGGTTTTATGCATTAAAGCATTACGGACCATAGTTAGTGTGTAAAATAATGAGTCACACTTGAAAGCATCTTTCACACTGCAAGTACGTATGACAAATGGGCAACACAAAACATATCGTAATGAAGAACGAGCGATGATTTAACACGACGTTAGCAGACATTTACCGATTTATTACAGTTCCAAAGATTTATATTTAAATATCCATTACATGTACTTTTAACTTTTATTTTAACGACAGAAGGCGAACAATTGGAGGTCAGTGGATAAATGTGAAGGTCTTATAATAGAAACATTGATGTGGACGAAGCAAGGTCGTGCTTTCAGCGGAGTTGGCTACGTCTCGAAACGTGGTGAAGTTATCATACATGCTGATATGTTCCCAAATACAAAGTTTGGTTACAATGGAAGGGAGTTTTTGATATCTACATTACATGTAAATGTTGAAATTTTTAATATTTACTTATATCTTAATATGTAATATTATAATGTTATATTATATTTTGATTTATAATTACAAAGTTTAAAGCTGGTAGCTCGGGTAGCTTAAATTTAAAAGTTGTTTCTAATTTTAGTTATTATAAAGGTAATATTGTCCAGCAAGTTGTCAGGTTATATAACTCAGAATAATTGATATATTGCAAGAATTTTACGGCCATAAAACTTGTAAGACTTAATCTAGGTAAATAACAAATTTATTATACATCACAACTCACTTGATACCAGCTGCATAAAGATTATATAGATACTAATTAAATAATATAAATGTCACAATTATCCCATGAAAAGTGACATTATAAACGATCAGGCATATATACACGGTCATACATTAACTATTAAATGTCTCCAAGCAAACCGGTTTTAATTCACAGATTCAGTTAAACAAAAACAAACAAAAAAGATTCAGTTAAACAAGAAAAAAAAAAACACAAAAAACCCCAACAATTTATTTGCAAATCATGTCTGCAAGATATGAATAATGTTAAAACATCGCAATATAAAATGATGATATTTATTAATCGCACAACATTTTTTATTCAAATAGTATAATACATAAATTAAATGTTACTGTATGTCTTCTTAAGATATGGACTTGCAATCTTGACAAATTTTGATCGTTTGCATGATTTGTTTCAAAACTATTTTAGTTTGCCCCCTTTGTTGTTAAAACGGAGGTAAATGGAACAGCACATTATGGAGGTATTTGTATGGATCTTCTGAAAGACTTAGCATGGAGACTCAATTTTACGTATGTATTTATAAAATAGTTAAGAAATGATGCAAAACTGCCCATAATCAAATAAAACATAGTGTCACATTTTGATAATTTGTCTGTTTAATCCTTATAAGATATTTTATTACACATTCGTTTTTCATTTTTGTAGAATGCATTGACTGTATGGACCATTAGATATACAACCTAAATTGATTTAAGCCATTGTTATTTTGGTTCTTCAAAAATATCACATGATACTGATTATAAGCTAGAATGGGAGTGTCATGTTTTTTTATTTTTAGGTACACGTTAACGGAACCTCCAGATCAAACGTGGGGACGTCCAGGTCCAAACAATACGTTTAACGGAATGATAGGACAACTGCAAAGAGAAGTGAGACTATTCATTTTCCGTCCCCTTTGTTCACTACGGGAATAAGATATGTGCTTAGATATGTTTTATCAGTTTTTTATTGTTCCATTTGCAAATGCTCACTGTTTTAGATGTTGTTGTCTTATACAGACTCTTAAAAAATAGAAAACACGGGGCTATTTAAAAAAAAGGTTTAGTTATAAAACACAAAACTTTAAGATATTAATATACTATATAAATGTTGGTATACACAATATTCATAATCTTTATAATCACACACTTCCTACACATCTTATAACCTCATTCCTTTTTTGTACTATAGGAAGTTGACATAGTTGCAGCAGATACAACGATTCAAAAAGAGCGGGAACTTGTTATGGATTTTATGTTTCCATTTTACTATGGCTATACGTCTGTTATGGTTAAGAAACCGGACCCAAACGCTAGAAAATGGAGGACGCTCGTTGATCCATTGCATTGGAAAGTGCTTATGACCATAGGGATTTGTCTGCCGATAATGTCGTTCATTTTATCTCTTTTGGAAAGGTATGCGATAATTTTTTTTTTAAATCAATGCTTTCATCATATGAAAACACACGAATAATTATGCTATTGCAATGTTTTATGCTTCAGAAACAAATACACTTTTCCTTCTTCTTCATTGACTTTATTTCGTCCAGATAATGGTTAACGCGCATGTTATGTACATGTATATCACCTGAAGAAATTATTAGCACTGAATTTGATATGATTTGTCTGATAAGTATCAAAATGAAAACAAAATACTATTTTAACAGTAATAATTGCAAAAAGCAACACATGGAATATAAGGTTCCAGTAATTGGCCAATGATTTACTTTTTGAAAAAATAACGAAATACTAAATAATAAGAGAAGATAGTTCTGTTTGAGTGGCGGCGTGGCCGGTTGGTGACCATTAAAATATTGTTGACCGCGTAAGTTCAAACTCCGTCAGCAGCAAGCCGTTGTTTCCTTGAGCAAGAAATTATACATTCAATGCTTAGTACTGGCTGGTTCCAGAAACGGATTCGAGAGTGTTTCAATACGTTCATAACTTCCAACACAATCGAACTAAAATAAATTTGTTAAAACTTAAAGCATTTCTTACGCATACTTGGCCTTTACTAAGAATATATTATAGTTGGTACTATTTTTCTTAATCATCTTCTTGTACACGTTTAGTTGTTATTCGACTGTTTGTATCAATTAAATAGTTTTCTTTTATAGTCCTTTTTAATTGGTACATATATGTTTTGGGATATTTTTGTGTATTTAGATATAATCCTTTTTACGCCCGGACTGATGATGGTGTTGACTATTCTTGGCTAAATGTTTTCCAATCGTTTACTCATTCACTATGGTACATGTACGGAACCCTGTTCGCACAAGGTATGTAGAAATATAAAACGAACTATGAATTATTATAAATAATAAATGATATGCAATTATGCATTGTATTTCTATTGTTTTAAACATATGAAATGTCGTACACTAACTTAAAAGATATATTAAGCAAATAGAGAAAATCATACTTTTTCAAGTAAAATGTTGTTATTTTACAGACCTATAAACAATGCTTTTAATAGTTCGCACTGAACGTAAAAGATTTACACTACAGTAATTTGACTATACATTTTGGAGATATATAAATGATTTTTTTGTGATGTGTAAATAACAATTTGGCTTTAAAAACTTGTTATAATAATTATATACTTTATAAAAACCTCTTTTCTATTATTAAAATCATGTTTAAATTGTTAATATACATTCTGCCACAGTGACTGTTTTAATAAGCGCTGACATCGAAATGTTATTACAGTATAATACCATCTAAAATAAGAAATGTTTGACAGTATTATATATTTTTTATATTTCATTCTACCACAGGCAGTGTCATCTTACCTCAAACAGTGGCGGGACGGACACTGATTTGTTCCTGGTGGTTATTTTCAATAGTTATTGTGGGAACATATTGTGGGAACCTTATCGCTTTCCTTACAGTGACAAAAGATAAACCACCGTTTGAAACTCTTGATGAAATGGCCGACCTTAAGGGAACATATCAGTGGGGCTTACAAGGAGGTACAAACCGAGAATTTGTTTTTGAGGTAAAAGCTTGGAGTAAGGCGGTTAATTTTATCAAAGGTTCGATGACAGAGAAGCAAAGGCGACTCCCTATAAATTAAGAAATGTTGGGTTCGAGTCATATTATGACCATGAATTCGTTTCTTGTATTGTCAAAGGTTCTGTTAGTTCAAGAATGTGAACACTAATTTAAATGTGATTCAAACTAAACATTCTTCCTAAAACACACGATAAAAAATTACCTATAATTTCAAAACAAAAGACACATTAAAAATATAGTGCAGATGTTGTACAGTAAAAAAGTAATATTATGATTTTAATCTTTTATCTCTACAGTTACGTCGTGTGAGTCAAGAGTGAAAATTAGTATACTTACATTAACTGCAACTATCATAGTTTTTTGTTGTCGGTATTAATTTGTTAGATTTTATATTATTTCATAATATCATTTTATGATTAGACCTCCAAAAGACCAGAATTTAGAAGAGTAGGGGATGCAATAGCTGAATTCAGTAAGAAAGACCCGGCAGTATTAGCAACTGATTTTGATGTTCAACTTGAAAAGGTTAAAAAAGGGTGGTATGGTTGGATAGGTTAGTAGGGTAACATTTATCACTATTAAAACATGCATTATTTTTTCATCGTTAGAAGATGAAATAATGTAATAGTACATTTAAATTGTAAGGAAGGGTCCCACTGTTATTTGCATTTAACACGTGAATGACATGTAGTACAAGTTTGAAACATAGATAATGAGTGTAAATAATAATTATAACAATAATAATAATAATAATAATAATAATAATAATAATTATTATTATTATTATTATAATACATGTAAGGAGTTATTTTTTATAAAAAACTGGTCAATGCTCATACGCCGCTTTTTATGAAATGGCACGGAAGTGTCACATTGAAGGTTTACTACTTCATGTCAAAATGTTGAATTTTGCTTCGGCCGGTTGTAAAGGGCACATTTTCAATTTTGTCGTTTTGAGCTTTTTAAGGGATTATTTTTTTCTCTTTTTTATATTTGGTACAAGAGTGAACTTACAAAGTAGGCATTATATTTTATGATTAAGGTGACGCTGTTGTAATGGAGCTTGAGATGGCTAAAGATTGCGATCTTATGATGATTAAAGACAAGTTTTTGCCTCTTAGATATGCGTTTGGATTCACCAATAATTCACCACACGAGCAAATATTCACAAAACAGTAAGTGTGTTTTATATTTGTATTTATATGTATATATTGATCAATACTTCTTAATTTTGTGATTTATTTAATATCTAAAAACCTTTATAAAGAGAAAATAATCAAACCTTTTTTCATTGTATCATATTGTGGGCAAACCAAACAAAAATTGTAAAGGATATAAAGCAACGTGCTGCGTTTTGAATAATACCAAAATGATAATTGTTTCCAAAGAAAAATATGTCAAAAATGTTTGTGATGCATAATGATTTTAATCTTTGCAGGATGTTGGTTATTCAGGAATCCGGATTAATTGAAGTATGGAAAAGACGATGGTGGCCCAAGTCAAAGGCTATTTGTGCCGATTCAATAGTAGCTGAAGCCAAGCCAATCTCAATAATAGATGTACAGAGTGCATTTTATGTAGCTGCCGGTGGAGCGGTGATTAGTTTCTGTATTTTTGTTGTTGAAGTCATCATTGGAAAATATTGTCGTGGTCGGAGACAAAGAAGAAAATCTCGCTGAATTGATTGAAAAAAAAACAACAACGGTGCAGTGACATTGTTAATGTTTGTCATACCATATTACAATGATTACATGTACCTACCATGTGAACATACAAGTATCTGATCGATTTTAATTTGTTGCATTCGAAAATCAATATCATATTATATTTTTATTGTCCCAAAACTGCTTTTGAATTTCTTTGTTTGGTAAGAAGATTTTTTACACTTAAATCTTCAATTTAGCCAAGTATTTTCTTATTTATCTTATTCACTAAACATACTCAATTATACACTAAGTCTAATAAGTTAATACAAATGTACAGTAGTATGATTTTGAATTCACATTTTTGCAAAATATTACGGTGGCACATAGGTGACATGTGTGTCATGGCCACGAGTTACTAAGTCGTGGCCACGAGATAGCTAAGTCGTGGCCACGAGATACTATGTCGTGACCATGAGTTACTAAGTCGTGCCTACGAGGTAGCTAAGTCGTGGCCACGAGTTACTAAGTCGTGGCCACGAGATACTATGTCGTGGCCACGAGTTACTAAGTCGTGGCCACGAGATAGCTAAGTCGTGGCCACGAGATAATTAACCAATCAGAATACACTAAATATATTATGAACTTTTTAAACTTAACAACTTACTTTTACATGCAACATTAATCTTTGAAAATACTGAAGATATTCACTTTGAACTTGTCTTTAAGATCATATTAGAAAGTCACCTTCCAAGGCCCATCAGACATTAATTTTGACTATAGCTCTTTGTTGGGCAAGTTTGTGATCGAATTGGTCAGTTTGTACGTACTACGGCCTGTTAACCTTGTTTATACGATAACATGAGAAGGAATAAGTCCTGGTTTATTTTATTTGTAAGGGACATTGCCCATGGACAGTAAATAGCCTATAAGGTAAAATCCTTGTCTGATGAATAATTTAGAAAGGATAAGCCATGGTTAATGTAACCCAGAAAGATCATTGCACCTGATCAGTAGATGACATCTAATAATTTCGAGGTCATTGGGTCAAAAATCAGGGTCACAGTGACGCTAAATGTAAAATTATTGACCAGTCAATAAGTTGTATAAATGGCACTTTTACAGGCAGATGAAGTAGAGCATCCTTGTACTATAGCACATGTCTAGTTAATTAGGGAAATTCGCATAAATGGTGTAATCTGATTGATTATTTATCTCGTGGCCACAACTAGCTATCTCGTGGCCACGACTTAGTAACTCGTAGCCACGACATAGTAACTCGTTGCCACGACATAGTATCACGTGGCCACGACTTAGCTATCTCGTGGCCACGACTTAGTTACTCGTGGCAACGAGATAAATAAAAACACACATACGTCACATTTGTGCCACCGTAAAGTATAGATAAAATCGTGCAGACTGCACTAAATCAGAGATTTTGCACGGCATAATTGTTGTGTTTTGGCAGCTTTTATTATTAAATCTAATTCTTGTCAAATTATTTCATGGTTCCACTATTCTTACCTGAATACATTATATTTTTTTTTCGTTATCAAAACATGCAATTAAAATATTTAATGATACTAACGGGGTCCCACAATGACAAGCTTATATAATCTGAAAATTGTTCATTTCTTCTGAAAGCTGATAACATTGCATACCTTAAAAACGTTTCGTAAATTATAATTGTTTATAACCTATCACAATCATGGTACATTTTTAATAATATAACCCGCTACGTAAGATATGAAATATAATGATAAGTATATAAATTGTCTTATTAACCGGTATAGAATGAATTGATGGTTGTGTTTGAGAAATATTAAATTGTACGGTTTGTTTGATAATAACCAATGTAGATCTATATGCATCTATGTGAAAATATTACATGTATTTCCATCGAAACAAGTTTTATTTCAATTTTTATAACTATATGGCATGTATGGAAATACATTACTTTTGCTTATCAGTGATAATATTCACCTTATCTTTTTTCCGAAAAAAAAACGCGACACACATAATTATCTCCCATTTTATTCAGTTACTATTTACTTTAAAACTTTTGAATGTGACGCAGTTTTCACAAATAGTATTTAAAGAAGCTTTTGTAAGTTTAAGGAACTCCACTGAGGTCCATAAACCTTAAAACATAAAATTTGAATTTTTTGCAAAGATCAGGTGTGGAACTAAAAACGGAAAGATTTGCAAAAGATGATTAAGAAATATACCCAGAAATATACTGGAAATTATTTTTGTGTTATTTACAGCCATCGTCAGGATATCAACATTTATGTAGTCGAAAAAAACTTTTTGTTTTTCTTTTTTTTCGATTGTAAATACAGATACCATTTTTACAATATTAAGTAGAAGATATCAAGTCGGAGGTAGTGTATCATTAGACAGAATAGGAATTGAATCGTCATGGCGTAGAGGAAATAAGGTGCGGTAAAACAGAAGAATAGGAGAATTGTTGACAAGGATATAACAGATACGAATGGGATCAAAATTGTTCTTACACATAAGAAAACAAAATGCAACTGGATAAGATGATAAAATAACTGTAAGATGTTTAACTTTTGCAGATTGTACATGTTCTTAATCCTCATCTTGTCCAATTTGTGCAAAGGATTTCCCTATTTTTAATTTAGAAAAGTATATTTAAAGAGATTGAAACATCAAATACAATTACTTAGCTACTAACATTATTGACCTTGGTTCGTTTGCAAAGCTAGTTATTGTCACTTTCATTTCAAGTAGGTTAAAGCAGCATGCCGCCAGAAGGTAATAGAAAAACTACCGTCTTACTAAAGTTTCAAAATCTCGCTTCAAAAACGTAATATGGTTGACAGAAATCGAAATGACACTTTAAAATGGTCATACTTTAATATGTGTGCTCTGACAACAGACAGGTTGCTTTTCCGCCAACGGGAAACCCTTTTATTATACCACGAAATTTTTTCATCCGGGTTATTTCTAGTATCACGTGATGGTATAGGACAATTACACATGTGAAAGCACAGAATCCGGGATCGCATCAAACATAGAGGGAAGCAATAAACTGCTTTGGTTTGATATAAATAGTAGTTAGTAGCACTACAAAATATAATTTGATTGATTATATCATAGATATAATGACCAATATATCGATTTAAACTTTAGTTTGAAATATGATTAGAGCATACTTATTACTCAATTAATGTCCTTTCCAAAATGTTCTGCTGGCTAATGGAAATTGCTTTAGCAGCCACAGATTAGCTTGAATTGTTATGCTAGTGTCTGTCCAAACGTGGTTATAGTTATAAATTCAATATTTGCCCTTTCTTACCGCATAACTTGCTTTGCAGTAATGAGTTTTTCAGTATACTTAACTGTGTATGTATGAGCAGAACATAAGAAATATAAATTAAATGTTTAATGTACGCAAACACGATATATGTAATCACTTAATATACAAAATTTAAGCTGTATTAATCTATAAAGAAATAAAATGTTGTTGTTAGCAATCATTCGTTGTCATTCATTGGTAACATGTTCTTGTATTTCCATTTTATGTCGCACGTCCGTGAACATTGTGAACATCTATTTTTTCTATCCCTGCTTCTTTTCGTTTGGACAAGCTGTGCAAAATTAAAGAAAATCAATTAAAAATAATTATTATAATGAACAAAGTAACTGAAAGACACGTGTCATGTGGTCGATATTCGTGTTTTTGAATATCGTTTTTATGTATCATTTTGTCCTTGTATTTGTATATATATCTCTTGTATTTGTCTGTTTACAGTCCGATATACAATCCATTATCCCATATTATTCCTATATCATTCCATTTCATCATCTCATTATAACAACTAATTTCTCATATTTCATTCTGACATAATTTGCATGCCGGGCCTCAGTTTTTACAAACTTCCCGGAAAATCCACCTCACGCATGCGCACTTTGGTATAAATATTTCTCTTGGTTTGCGCCAGAAATTGTTTATCTTATTTATTTATTTATCAAGGCGTATGTTTATGTCCTTACAGGTATTTGTTGTTATTCATTATGTTTCATTATCATGCATATTTCCATTGATCGTTTATGTATTTCGGATCTGTATTTATATGCACTTTGGTATAAATATTTCTCTTGGTTTGCGCCAGAAATTGTTTATCTTATTTATTTATTTATCAAGGCGTATGTTTATGTCCTTACAGGCATAAACAGACCATTCCTACATTTGAAAAGGACCATACGACATTGGTGGCCAGTGTGGATTTTTATGTTTGAATTGGTTTTTCATGGTACGAATATATTGGTGACGAAACTTCGAACACAGAACGGTGACGTAGGGAATTCCCGACTCCAGCCAATCAGAACGGCTTATATATTTCTTATTTACTTCCGGTGACCGGGTACTCCCGAGGAATTTCATGAATATAAACAAAAGTTCAACTAGCTAGTTATTTTTCTATATTTTCAAGAGCTCTTACATTTAATTAATTAAAGGTACCTATTCTTATTTACATATCAACGTTGGATCATTCACTTCTTCGGACCATTTAGACGACAACAATATATTTGTGGACTTAGAACTTTTGTAAACAAACAGTGTAAATTCATTCAACAGTTAAAATTATTCAGTGTTTACATATTTTGGATTAGTGTCTTATTCATTTTAATTAGTATCAAGTGCCATTTTATTGTTATATTGTAAAATGTAGATCTAGGTTGATTTTTTCATTTATCTATATTCAGTGGTGTAAAATCTTGATCAAGATCTACATGTGAAAATCAATTTGTTTTGAACCATAGATATACATGTATATTATTATTTGATTTTGTATATTTTAGGTTGAATTCCACAAAGTCTTGTACTTCAGGCTTCTGTGATATTGATTTTATCCTGTTGCTGGCATTTTTGAAGATTACACAGTTCACAGACATGTAGACACAGCATTTAACTATCAGGTGGTTGGTGAGCTAACACTCTGTCTCTTTTATCTTTCATCTTGGTCTGAATAATTAGTATATTAATACACCTGCCCCTATTTGAA